AAGCGTCTCCCAGCTCTGTTTGGGGACATCTCGATCTTCCCTCTGTGAGTATTCACTGTGCATTTTTCGTGTATCTTTTCGGTACCATTTTAATGCCATAAGGGTCAAGAGAAAAGAAGGAAGGAATGTTATTATTATTATTTTGTTTTTTTTCAAAAGGGGTTGTAAGAAGGGATTTTTTCAAAAAGAGTTTTTTTAGAAGAATGGCTGGCCAAGGTAGGCTTTGGTGTTTAGGGTTATTAAACAAAGCATATTTGCTACAAAGAAGCTATCATTTAAGCAAACCCATAGCATGAATAGGCCATCGCGCCCTACTCCTCAACCGAATGATGGAAGATTCACGAAAATGCCAAGACCAGGAATGTTTTCCTAACAAAGCCAGGAGTGGCTTTCAAGCCAAAATAACCGCCACAAATCACACATTTTTTTGTAGTGGTGTATAGCCAAACAATTAAGTGCACTATGCATGTATAGCACAAAGAAGCAAACCAAAAACCCACTAACAAACATAAAAAGAATTTAAGAAGAAAGTCAAGCTAAATGATTGGATCTAAAAGATTCTCATACAATCACATTAACAAAAATATGGTTCTTCCTCCCTATGATTTGAGCTCTTCAATTTTGGTGTTTTTTTTTTCTCTCTAGATTTTACTCCACTCACAGATTTAAAAGAAAATCCTAATACCAAAATAATAATCGCTGTAGGATGAATCTAGTGTACTGCACCATTCAGGTCTCAGGACTTGTTGATGTTTAGAATGTTGGACAAAACATGAAGTACAGTGACATGCAACTATGCGCCAACGCGAACTTCCTTAACTCATCTTTCATTTATTCTTCTGGTGGCTCTAACTTCCTCCCTATGGTCTGTTTTTTGCTTCGTGTAGTTATATCCCTACTGTTAAAAGTCATAATTTAAATGAGATATCAAAAGACACTAAAATTAAAAAATTTATCCAAAAATTACCAATCTCATATAGCACTAATGAATAAAGAACAAAATAGTAACCCATAGCATGAATAGGCCATCGCGCCCTACTCCTCAACCGAATGATGGAAGATTCACGAAAATGCCAAGACCAGGAATGTTTTCCTAACAAAGCCAGGAGTGGCTTCCAAAATAATACTTATCAATGAAGATTGAGAAAATAACATCATCATGGGATGAGATCCTTCCACCAATGATGACAACAAAAGATCAAACAGAAAAAGGCAAGCTTCATACATGTTGAAAAAGCTGAAGCATTTAGAAAAATAGTAGAAAAAGGCAAGCTTCAAACATGAAAAAGCCGAAGCTAAAAAAATATAATATTCAGAAAAAATCTATTACAAGCAGAAGCCTGGAGAGGCATCACAATACTCACCTTGACAAGAACAACACCAAACTCTTACCAACCATCCCACAATAAAGACGCCTGGAGAGGCATCACAATACTCACGTGGCAGGGGCAACATTGGAATCCCTACCAGCCATCCACTTCTCTGCCTACCAACATAGGGGCACAACAAACATCTTCTGCCCATCCACCCAGGGGCAGTCTTTCATTCCACAACCATCCATCAACAATCAAACGATCAATCATCAATAAATCAAATACTCAACATTTACTCTTTTTCTCACCATCACAAGAGCACCACCTACCAGCAATCATTGTCTTCATCAGACGTCCTCCCACAGAAAAGAGGTAATCACATCATCAGCATTAGCAGGCGGCCTGGAGAGGCCGACATAATAATACTCACCATCAGCAGGCGGCCTGGGATAAAGCATACCTGACCCAGGTCTTCTGGAAAAACAGAATTTCTTTCTCCATATACCTGTGTTTGAAGTGAAAAATAAAAAATAAATAAAAAAGAAGAAACATTCCCTTCAATTATATTCTAGTACAAACAATATAGGTCATTTTTGTCCAGTTCAAACTAGTGCGTCAAGTCTTTGCGAGAGAAAGAGAAAGACTTTGGAAAATGGGTACTCACAAACTGTTGATTTCTCATGTTTTTTGAATTTGATGCATTGTCCAAGGAGAGCTGAGTGCCTGCATCCAAGTAGGGAAAAAGGGAATAAAATTTTATAACTCCCATAACTGAAGAATGTTTTGGGAGAAAAACATATATAAATATTGATGAAACTTTAACTACATGCTCTCGCTGCTTGCAGTAGTATAAATAATTTGTGGAAAACATCACCTCAATTTGACCTTGTAGGAACCTTATATATCCAATGGCTTCTAACAACACAGAAGTTGTGTCAGTCTACAAAAGTCACAAAATGGCACCTGATTCAGATTTATTACATTAAGAATAAGAACTCTAGAAGTAGTATTAAGAAATTGGACATCCCAATTTTTCGGCTAAAAATGACTGAAACCAAGTTTCTCTTCTTCTCCCGGTTATCCGGTACTACAAAACAAACACAATTCCCAAAATGCATACTAGACACAATTAATAACTATGGTACAAACCTAAAAAGTTCTCAAAAACCATTTTAAAACAAAGCCTAAACTAAATTCTTATTATACCTTTGAGTAAATGGCTGCCTTTGAGACGTATCAAGTTATATATGTGATATTTATAGAATGGGGAAATTCTATAAATATCACATATATATAACTTCTCATCACTTACATCAAAAGCTCAGCTGCGAGTTAACAATGCACACAGAGGCCAACAAAGGAAGGTCAGAACAGGGGCTGTTCACTGAAGGGCTGACCTTAGCTGGAAAATGCCAGAAAATGTGCAGCTGGCTGGAAGTGTGACACAAGAAAGTTGTTGATGGCAATTAAGAATTTCTCATCATAAAATGGTTCTGAAGGAGAATATGATGTGGAATCATAGATGTAAACTAAAAAAATGGCTTATCAAAGAAATGACAGGAACAATATGGACTTTCTATTTCTAGTTGTCATAGAACCCATATCCTCTACATTTCAGCCACAATTTTGGCTACTACCCAAGCATTGTTAAGTTCCCAATAGCAGGTCTCCACCACAGCCCAATAGCAGAACTATACTCTAAGTCAAACACGGGAAAAACTCTAGTTTTTCTGATTATTGACAGTGCAAATTATACATTTATCATACTATACCAAGCAAACTAACATCACCAAATCTACAAATCTAGCTAAACCAGGTACTCAAGCACTTGTCTTTAATAAGAAACTGGGATTACCATCAAAAAGAGAGCTTCTAACCTATCACAATAAGCACCCAGAATTTATAAATATCAAGCCCCCAAAAACATATCCAAAAGTGGAATATCATGAATTTGTAATTGTATTAAATCTCCCAAAGAAAATTATAATTTGTCTGTTATTGCTATTGATATAAAATTGAATGCTGAAAGAATTTTCAATTTATGTATTCATTTATCTTTCTGACTATAGGAACACTCATGCCAATAAGTTAAATCTCCATTAAACTTGTGGTATAGCCAAAACGATATTACAGAATCAAGTGTTAAATAGATAACAAAGGAACCACAGATATACAGTTTATTGCTGCCATGTCCATTTCCATGCCACGCAGAACTATCCGCATTGTTTCCAATTCTGTCTCTCACAGACCGCTTAGTACCAGTCAACGGAAGAGAAGAGAAAGAAGAATCTACAGTAGATATATCCCTCTTCACAACCTAAACTCAAGTGTTAAATAGAAGATGGGAAATTGAAAATTGAACTGCATTCCTTTATTCCAAATAAATAAATTCAACAAAACAACTTAGTACAAGCACAAAGTCATGCCGAATGTAGAACTAGATGTCAACAACAAACAAAAGCATTCTGTATCAACATACTTATCGGAAAACAAACAAAAAACTTCGAAAAAGGGTAAACATCATTTTCATTGATATCTTTCGAGAAAACCATTTGACGAAGCAAGTAGAAACAAGTCGAATCCAAAAAATAGTGAACAGAATCGAAGTAGCGAAAACACACACAAAGAAGCTCCTTGTATAGAGAGCATTAACAACAATCTAGGCGAAACAAGAACGATATAGATTTCGAATTAGATGAAATTGCAAACTACCTGACCGCTACGCCCAAGAGTAATGGTAACGCGAGCCCTCGAAGGATCGGACATGTCGATAACCGAAACCCTAAATTATCAATTGAGCAAAAGCTTCCGACACGAACACACCAACATGATCAATCAACAGCCGCAAAGAGTTACCCTAACCCTAATCCTAATCACATTGCCACGAGTCGAAGTAGTGATAGAGAACACAACGATGGTTAGAAGAGGAAGGTGTTTGGAGATTTGAGTGATTCAGCTTCCGATTAGAGAAAGAGAAAGAAGGGGTTGGTGGTGGAAGAGAGAGAGAGGCGACTTTGCTGCTTCAACGCCAAATAATAATAATAATAAATATAGTAATTAAGTTTGAGAGAAAAGAGAAGCGTCCATTTAAATTGTATTTATTTAAAAATAATAATAATAAATATTGTAATTAAGTTAGTTGCATGTGGAATAGGTATTTAAATATTGTGGCGGTTTCAAACCGCTGAAAATATTGTTCTTTTGCGGCGGTTAAAATAACTGCCAGAAATATAATATTTTGTGGCGGTTTTTTGAAACCGCTAGAACAAAACCCCCACTAACTACATAATTTTTTGTAGTGAGTTAATTCCATAAGAATAAAGCAAGACAGTTATACACGAAATTACGGGCTAAATAACTCCATTTATGAATTTTAAGTATTTACTGATAAAAAACAAAGAACGCTCCTGCATTTGAGAACACTCATTTCAATCCTTACTTTATTTAATAAATAAAAGGATAAATAAGAGATAGAAAGATGAACAATTATTATTTCTGTATGATTAATTAACATCTGGCTATAGCACCATGACTGTTCTTATATTTTATTTCGAAAGCAAAATTATTTTGCAGAAAAGATGGCTATCCACTGATGTATTTTCTATCACGATAAAGTATACTTCAAAACAGGGAGAAAAGAAAAATGCTCTTACTAATAAATTCGTTGTCACTTCACTTGTTAACATGTCACTCAACCAAGCTTGAAACAGAAAAATATAACACAATAGAGATATATAAAATTTTAAAACCAGAACAAAATAATGCTAACAATACATACCATTTCACCTCCACAACTTCGGTTAGCAAGTGGCTGAGACCATTGGTTAGAGCTGATCTAGAGGTTAGAGAAGCTTTCAATATGCTAAGAGCCTGCATTAAGAACATTGTAAAATGAGTAACTGCTGCTAGAAATCAGTCATCTAGCGTGATCACAAAATGAAGACAAAGAAGTAAAAGCAAATAGTTTTACTATTGCATACCTCTTTGATACCAATGGTGACAACCTTTTCCTTCAAGTCATTAAGAGGTGTCTTTAAACGGTTGATTAAAGATAAACCCGAAGTTGGAGACATGGGTTCCACAACCAAGTCATCTGTAGCCATGAACATTGCTGGACCCTTGGCATAACCTTTAAGCCTTCCAGAAGATGACTTCAGATCTACTAATTTCAAAACTTTATAAATTTCACTATTCTTATCATCACTCCTGCAACCATTAGCTATATAGAATTTATTATAATAAATGCTTTCTCTAAAACCACTAGGATGATAATAACAATAATATGGTGAAGCTTCTTGTTCATCAATTGGAAACATCTGCATGCTTAATCTGAACTGTGGGGGAAGGCTAGGATCAACAAGCCTGTTCTTCAATCCCTTTGCTATCAAATATTTGTTTTCATTTAAATCAACTATACTCTTGTACAATCCATCAATGCTGCCCAGGGAAGCAAATCCTCCTAACATCCTCACGACTCCACCCAAAGGGAAGGTGAGAAAACTTAAAAGGAAGTCTGCAAAATCTTCTTCTCCTTCAGCAAACAATATCTTCCCATCTGATTTTCTCATAATTAGCTTCACTTTGATTTGGATTGTACTACTATTCTCAACAATAGGAGGAGAGAAACTTGAGTTCTCCAGCAATTGTTTCTTAATTAGGAACAAATCCGTCAGAGTTGACTTGGACAATAAAGAACATTTTAGCAGATCCAGTACCTAAAATAAAGGAGAATTTATAAATAAAAAGACTAAATAAACATAAATACAATGTCGTAGGTACCATCGGTAAGTACCGATGTTGTACTCCGATTAATAATACACGTTATTAAATAGAAATGCTTATCATGCATATTATCAAATTATCAAAGTAAAATCGCAATTAATAACAGTATCAACAGTATCTTTGGCATACTGTATCAATGAAGAAGCAAACGTTGAATTGAAAAATAAAAATTTGCGAGTGTTGCATGTATAGAGCAAGTAATAATAAGCAACCAAATATCAATATGCATAACTGTAAATGAAAAATAACCTTTTTCTTTGTGACAATCACAGTCATTTCTTCTACCGAATCTGAGCATTTTACTCCACACTTCTCCAAGACACCAAAGCATGTATCCACTGCGTTTGGAATAACAACCAGATCATCGGTGACAATAAAAGTAGCGACATCGTTTACAAAACCGTAAACCTTGTCGCTCTGGAAAGAAACTAAACGACTCAAAAGATGTCCACAATCACATCTTTCATTTTTGAAAGTGCTCAACAAGTTATGGCTGCAGTTAGGCAAGTTGGTACACATGAAGTACTTCGTGGGACGAGTGTCATCTATGTTAAGTTTCAGACTCCTGCAATAATCTTCGGAAGAACTCCTTGGTCCCAATAGCATTTCTTTGCATGTTTCTGTCCACAGATACTTTTGAAGATTTGTTACACTTTGATGCAGTGAACTTAGACAACCAACTTCAACTGTTCCCATATCTGAGTCCTTCTGCACAAGTCTGGAAATGGTTCCTAAAGGCATTGTTAAGAAGCTTAAGAGAACGTCCACAAAGTCCTTCCCTGCCTCTGCCAATACAACTTTGTTGGTCTCTTTGTTCACCAGAAGCTTCAATGAAACTCGCTTTTCTTCTTGAGGCGCAGCCATAATGAAAGAACTATAGCGAAGTTGGAAAGTTTTCAAAACTTAGAAACAAATAGTTCTTCTGTTCACAACTACCACTCTGATTGACGTTTAGCCTACTGCCTCGGGTTCTAGATATTGCTATAACACTTTTTTAACTAGTCATTCGCACACAATAAGAAAATTGTTTTTAAATTGTTGAGACTCATCATTACACTTTTTTTAACTTAATTATATTTCACAAGTGTGTGCAAGTTATCTTTTCTATTTCAAAAGAGGAAATTTATTTATTTATATTCTCTCCGATTTCGAATATATGCAATAAATAAACAAAATCAAATTAGTTAGTTCAAAATATAAACAATTTTCAATTAAATTTACTATTTAATATATATAATGCTAACATCTCTAAAATATTCTTTCTTTTAATTAAGATTGTATTTCTTATGATCAATTTTTATTCTTATTATCAAATTCTAAAAAAATATATATTTTAAGAAATTAGATTGTATTTTATCATGCTCAATGAATAGGGATAACAATAAGCTAAATTTTAAATAAAAAATTATGATTAAATCTATTTAAAGTCTGATTTGATCCAACTAATTTAATAGAAAAATGTTAGGTTTAGACTTTTAAAAAAATTATTTATTTAAAAAGTTGAACTTAAAGTTTATAAAAAAATTTATTAGAGGTCGGACTATTTATCTATATGATATTACTAAAAAATAGTATACACATTATATTAATAACAATAAAATTAAATAAATAAATTTGCAATACAAAAAATAAAATTATTAATATTTTTAACATTTTCACTACTCTTAAACGCTAGTATACATGAGTGTGTATGAACTGTCCCTCTTATATTAGTTTTTTATTTTTATTTTAAACTCTAAAAATTAATAATAATCGAGTAAACTTTATTTTATCATACAAACTAAAAGAAATATATACTAGCACGTATATTTAAAAATAGATTTTTTTTTAACTTATTTAAAGTCAAGTTTATAACATTGTTAATGTAAAAATAGATTTTTATATATGTCAATAGATCATACAAGACTTTTAAAAAGATAAGTCATGCCTAAAAATAATCTATGATAAATAATAAAGTCAAATTTAGCTTTTAATTTTATAACTTGTATATTCAAAGTCTGATTTATTCACAAATTAATCTTTGATTATTAGCTTCGAAACATTGCATGAACCATATTTATAAAAAAAAAAAGCCTAATTCTTTTGGTTAGCGAGAATTTTTTATTATTTATATTCAGATTAAATGGAATAATATTTATGTTATATATATACATATATATATATAGTAATTAAAAATATTTTAATACAAAATTATAAATGCAAGAGAAAATTTGATATAAAAAATATATATAGGAAGAGTTAATAAAATAAGTAATAACATGAGAATACAACTTCCCACCGCATAAATAACTGTACATTAATCTATCACTACATAGATAACGAGTAAGAAATAACAAATTAATAAATACCGGCCGTCCTTGTTACAAGACACGATTTTAGAAGGAATTGTGGGTAATTTTTATAAGATATTTTATAATTTTTTATAAAATATTAATTTTAGGGTTTAGGGTGTATGTGTTTTTTTTTTCTTCACTTTTTGTCTTTTCAATTGTTATTTAATATTATCTTCATCTATAATTATAAAACTCTTTTAACTAAATTACAACTTTTAAAAAATTAATTTAATTAAGAGGATTAAATTTATTAATAATTTAAACTATTTTTATAAAATTATTCTTAACATCTCTTAAATTAACCTTCTCTCTTTTCATTTAATCATTTTTCATCTAATTAATTAATTTTTTTTGGAAGAAAGATATTCATGTGTCAATTTATTTTCTCCAATATTAATAAGAGAATTTTTTTTTATCTAATTAATGTTAAACATTTATTACCTTTTGTCTAAAAGATTTGTTAAATAAATAAGAGTATTTCATAGAATATATAATTAATGCAATTAACAATTAGAAGAGGACCTCATTAAAAGAAACAAGCAAAAAAATGAAAAAAAATCTTATATATAGACGGATGTTTCATTTTTATTAATATTGATATATATCGAGCAATATTTTCACCTTTCATTATAATTTAATGACAAACAAAAGAGTAAAATTGATTAATCACGATTTTATTTTATAAATTTAATAAAATTCACTAATATAATTACTTAATTTAATGTATGATTGAATTAAAAGTGTTTATTAATAAATAGCCGAATTAGTACAATAAAATCTTATTTTAAGTATAGACAACATTTAAAATTATGAGAAAGTGCATTGTTAATTTTGTTATTACACGACCTTTGTATTCACTAGTAGTTGAATAGGCGAAGAAAATGATTTGACCAATTGCTAATGTATAGCAATAACCCTGTGTTGAAATAAGTGAGCATGCCTGAGGTGGTGATTAACAAATACTACATTCTATTTATTGTAAACATTTATTAAGATTAATGTAACTTATATGAAGGTAAATTATAATTTTTTTTACAAAGATAAACACTGCGCAACACACAGGTACACATGATAGCCCATACTTCCCTCATCATGCACATGTCTTTTAAAGTGTTATTTCTCTAAATGGTATAACTTACACCATTAATATAATGGGAGTCTTATAGTAAATTACCACTTCATGCAGGCTCACTTCTTTCGATATGTGGTCATTAAGATAATCACATATATAGAAGCCGTTTAAGATGCTACCCAGTAGCAATTGGCTTAATACAAGTAATTTTTCGATTAACTCAACTACTTGATAAATGTAAAGGTCGTGTAACAGAACGCACTTTTGCACGATTTTAAATGCATGCTGTACGAAAACTTTTCATTAAATGCTGTAGTGACCCGTTAACATACCTTTATTTATATGGAGCGACTTTACATCTCCCATTGTGGATTTTTTATTTTTAATTCATTGGTTAATTAATTCTTCTATATAACGTGTTTTTTTATATATCTATTATTCTTTTGTAAGGTTTTGGATCTGCTAAAGTGTTCTTTATTGTCCAAGTCAACTCTGACGGAATTGTTCTTAGTAAAGAAACCATTACTGTCGAAATCAAGTTTCTCTCCTCCTGTTGTTGAGATCAGTAGTACTATTCAAATCAAAGTGAAACTGGTTATGAGAAAATCAGATGGGAAATTATTATTTGCTCAAGGGGAAGAAGATTTTGTGGACTTCCTTTTCAGTTTTCTACCTCTCCCTTTAGGTAGAGTAGTGCGTATATTTGGAGGGTATTCTTCTCTTGGTAGCATTGATGAATTGTACAAGAGCATAGTTGGTTTAAGTGAAGACAAATATTTTAATGGTATAATAATATCCATTAATAATAATAAAATTTATATCTAGATTAAAAATAAATGTTAAATTAATATAATATATAATTAAAAATATCAAGATATACAAAATTCTAAATTAATATAAATTACTAAAGTTCATCTTTATAAGAAAATTATGAAAAATAATTGATAAAATAACTTATTTCAATTTATAATCCTTATTATTTATATTTTTATTTGGATTAAGTTAACCAAATGTCTATTTTAAGTTTGTTTTTCTATGTAATATGAAAAATATTTCTTTAACGAAAACATTAAAGTTTGCTAGTATTTAAACTTATATTCCAAGAGATTCAAGATTGTTTTTGGATCTAACAATGTCTATTTTATACCATTAAAATTTTAATAAATAAATATTTTTAAATATATTAAATAATTAGTTATTTTTTTATTGATATGCATTCAACCCGTTTATTTATAATATTATATTTTATTTATTAATTGAACAGACTCTTTTATAAACTAAAGGTAAATATTTATATATATATATATATATATATATATATATATATATATATATAAGTATTTTATCTATTATTATTGAAGTGAATGTTAGAATACAAGAAGGGGGTTTGAATTGTTTTATTTTAAAAAATTGTTCCTTTTTAAATCAATTTCTTAAAAGACAACTCGTCTGAGTAAACAAAAGTTTTGGTACTTAGTGTCTTTCTTTGCAAATAATTTTTGAGTTTACTTGTTAATGAATTATTGTAGACACCCAATTTCGTCCAGGGGGCATACAAACAAGATAGGACATTAGAGGGTCCAAAAACCCAAATTAACTTTTTTTAGTGGCCCGGAACGGGCCGTTCCAAAATCAGAACAGGCAGTTCCCAAGTCCGGAACGGTCCGTTCTCGAGTTGGAACGGGCCGTTCCTAGGCTTCTCAATGGCCTAAAAATTGTTAGCTGGAACGGGCCATTCTAGACCAGAACGAGCCATTCCAAACCAAACAAATGGTCTAAAATCTGTACCCGGAATGGGCCGTTCTGAAATCAGAACGGGCCGTTCTAGTTCCCCAGAACGTGCCGTTCTGATTTCAGAACGAGCTGTTCTAGGGTACGAAAATGCTACATAACATTCAGATTCGGAATGGGACCAGCAGGCGGCCGGGAGAGGCCGGCACAACAATACTCACAACATCAGCAGGCGGCCTGGAGAGGCCGGTACAACAACACTCACAATGTCAGTAGGTGGCCTGGAGAGGCCGGCACAACAATACTCACAATATCAGTAGGCAGCCTGGAGAGGCCGGCACAACAATACTCACAACATCACTGATATTGTGAGTATTGTTGTGCCGGCCTCTCCAGGCCACCTACTGACATTGTGAGTGTTGTTGTACCGGCCTCTCCAGGCCGCCTGCTGATGTTGTGAGTATTGTTGTGCCGGCCTCTCCAGGCCGCTTGCTGATAGTGAGTATTATTATGCCGGCCTCTCCAGGCCGCCTGCTGATATTGTGAGTATTATTGTGTCAGCCTCTCCAGGCCGCCTGCTGATGGTGAGTATTATTATGTCGGCCTCTCCAGGCCGCCTGCTAATGCTGATGATGTGATTACCTCTTTTCTGTGGGAGGACGTCTGATGAAGACAATGATTGCTGGTAGGTGGTGCTCTTGTGATGGTGAGAAAAAGAGTAAATGTTG